CTTCATTACCATATCTTTTACTTCCTTTTTAATATAAATTAATTTCCAGAAATGTCACTAACCGTTTTTCTTTAGTTAACACACAGCAAGTTTATGTCTTCATGGCACATTGGGCAGGAGCTTTAATGACCATGTTTATAAGCTGAGCAGGGCCGGAAGACATTTCTACAACCCCAGATGGTTCTCCATCCCATAATATTCATAAAAACACCAGGAGACAAGAATGATGGGTTGATTTCTGGAGTTCTGTTTGAGAACTAAATAAATTAAGGGACTAGAAACAGTGCCTGGCACCCAGTAAGTGCCATATGCTTGACAAAGAAAATAAATAAGCTGCACACTCTTGCTGTAACTGGGACTTAGAGCACGCTTCCCAAGGGTTAGTGACGACATAAACCAACCCAGCCAGAGCCCACTTGACTGCAGAGACAGCGTGTGTCTTATGAGGTGAAAGCACATGAAATTGCCATTTGGGTTGGTCAAATTTAGTCGAAGGCTGGCAATTTCATATGGCACCACCCAACAGAATGCAGTATGCCTCAATTCTATTACCATTATCCCAGGATTCTGCCGCATTCTGGGGCCAGAATGGCGGGGCTGGGGAGCAGGGCGGGCCACCCATGGGCCTAGCCTCTGGTCTAGCCACAGGAACACCTGTCCCTACCAGAAGGCAGAGTTCCTCCCCCCCACACACAGGGGCTTCCCAGCCCCTCCCTTCCACCTACCCTCACCCTCTTACCCTACTATTCCCACATCCCATCCTCTTCACCCTCCCACCACTGGGAGAGCAAGTGGAAGGCAGAGACACGGGTTCTGCACGCACCTGAAGAGGGGCCCAAGTTGCAGCAGGTGCAGTAGCAGCACGAGCGGCCGATCGCGGCTGAGATCCCGGTGCACGAAGACGAGCGTGAGCTGCACGAGCGCACAGGGCAGCAGCGAGAAAAGCAGCGTCAGCGCCTGCCACATGCGGTCCCCGGCCGAGCGATAGGTGCTGCTCAGGTAGAGCGCCACGGTCGTCTCGGCCACGAACAGGAACACGGACGCCAGCACTGAGCCCGGGAATTTCATCTCCGCGCGTCAGCGGCGCGCACCAGCGGAAAACGCAGCGGCGACAGCGGCGGCCCAAGGGGCCCCCGGCATGCCCGTCCCCGACCTGCGTCGCCCGCCGAGGGCACGGGGGCCCGGCCGGCGGGTCTGGACGCTGGAGCTGGGCCCCGGGGAGAGCGACAGAACTGGGGTGGGGCGGAGAGTGCAGCCTCGCTGGGACACGCCCACGCGCACCGTGCGCCACCCGCGCGTCGTGGTGTCCGTGGCGCCTCTGTGGCGACAGTGCCCCGGCAGGCCGCGAACCCGCGCCCAGCCACAGCTGGTGCTCAGAGCCCTAACAGATACAGCGGGCCCTGTTGGCCCCTCTCGCAGCCTCTGGGTCCTAGAGTCCCTAGGCCAGCGTCCTCTTTGAAAAATGTTCACAACCCTTTCCAAACCTGCACCAAATAAGGGCCAGGATTGTGTTCTGGACGCCTTTTTAGTCCAGTCTCTACTTTCTAGGCCCGGGAAAAGCCTGATTCTTCAAAGGACCAGCGTTTCCGGTCATTTAAAAACAACCAAACCACACAGATGCTTTTCAAACTCGAAGTGCTAGTGCATTGGCATGCACCCACCACAATGATGGGAAGAATTCAACTTTTCACTGGGCCATATAAGCATGCCCCGACCTTTTCCAGATACACTTGTCTGAAGCGTTGTTTCCAATGGTGAAAGAGCATCAGAGGTAATCTGTAGGAGCCAACGCCTTCCCTCCCTGAAAAACTGCCTACAGAATGTATTCCTCTATAACTAACTGTCACCAATTTAGACAAGGCAAAGACCAGAGCCTAATAAGGAAGCAGTTATCTAGCCCAAGACATACTTTGCTTGCTGATGTGTGCCAAATCCAATAACACAACTTTTCCCCTAGTAAGGAGTCTGGTGACATACTGGATAAAGCATTCAGCTGCTAACCAAAAGGTTGCTGGTTTGAACCCACTAGCCACTCTGTGGGAGAAATATGAGACAGTCTGCTTCTGGGAAGATTTATAGACTATGGGACAGTTCTTTTCTTTCTATAGGGTCACTGTGAGTTGGAATCAACTCCATGGCATTGAATTTAGTTTGTTTTTTTTCCATCCACTGAGCTGGTGAGCACCCTGCTGGACCCACCCCTGTCCTTCAGAAACTTTATCCAGACAATAAATCTCTCTAAAAGTCAGATTCTTACTTGTTCTATAAAGGGATTAAGCCCAAAACACACTCCCATCAAGTCATTCTGACTCATAGTGAATCTATAGGGCAGAGTAGAACTGCCCCATAGGATTTACCAGGCTGTAAATCTTTAGGGAAGCAGACGGCCTTATCTTTCTCCCTAGGAGCAACTGGAGGGTTAGAACCACCAATCTTTTGGTTAGCAGACCAATGCTTTAACTGCAGTGCCACCAGAGTTCCTCATATAGGGATCAGAGTTTAATAATTATAAGATCCCTTTCCCTGCTGCAATTGGGTAACTCTATCAATTGTCAAGGGAGCTCTGGTAGCGTAGTGCCTAAGGCACTTGACTGCTAACCAGAAGGCTGGAGGTTCAAACCCACCAGCCACTCCTCGGAAGGAAGATGGGGC